CTTTCTTTCTTTCTTTCTCTCTCTCTCTCTCTTTCTCTCTCTCTCTCTCTCTCTCTCTCTCCTCCCATCCCTCCCTCCCTCCCTCCCTCTCTCTCTCTCTTTTTTCTTTCTCTTTCCCTTTCTTTCCCCTTCCTTCATTTCTCCCTCCCTTCCCTCCTTTCTTTCACTTCGCTGAACATATGCTCTGAAGAATACAGATAATATTTTCTGTATCCCCTTAAAGCTAGGTATGGTTGTGAGACAATTTCCTGGACAATGGTTTTCAATGGACATAGCATATGCAGTTTGTGGCAGGGGCCCTCAGTGAGTGTCTCTTCCTAAAGGTTTCTCCTTTGGCCTGGCTGGAAGTGACAACTGGAACACAAGCAACTCCATAACCTCTGAATTCCTTGGCCCAGGTGTAAAAGCTGTGTCAAGAATGAAAATCTGGATCCAAGGGTGCACCTTGGAGCACATACCAGCTTTGGACTGTTTAATTCTGCAACATTTTTATATGAGAGTAAGATTTAAAAACTTTTTTTTTTGTTACTCTAAAGTGGTACGTAATCATGAATAATATAGGCAGTTTGTCTGGTTATTAAGAAAAAAGCAGGAATCTTTACTTATGATTCTTATGATTCTTTTTATTTCAAAATCTGGAAATTATCTTTGGCTTAAGGACCTAAACCATTTCCTAGGCTGGGGGAAGCAGACACGTATGGAACAGCCTCCCAGTGGCATGTGGACACCTTGGCTCGTTGACCCAACTGATTGGTCTGAAAATGTCCTAACACATAGAAACACAATAGATTCATAAAGCCTAAATACTTATTAATAGTAATTATCAATGGTGAAATATTTGTGTTAGCCCAGCCAGTTCTAGTGCCACTAAATCCCTCAACATAGATAAGATAATCTTCATTTTATAGATAAAGGGAATTAAAAAGATTCTGAGTAAGCTGCCAAATAATAACAATGAACACCTTCAATTCACTGAATGCTCTCCCTACTAACCATCATACCACTTTTCATATAATTAATGTTTTGCATCATTTTCTCACATGGCGATCACTTAGGAGTGGGCAATCATCCCTATTTAACAGAAGAAAAAAGTGTATTTTAGAACAGGTAAATCACTGAGCTCAATTTATACAAGTGGTTAAAACACAGAGCCAGACTTTAAGCTGTAGCATCCGACTCCGCACTACCTGTTATCTCTCTACATTCCATGTTTCCCTGTACTTTCCTCCTTCCCTTTAGTCCTCAACCTGCCCTCCCAAGGTCATGAGTGGATCTTGATGGATTATTATTCTCTAGATATTTTTCCTTGATTTTTATATTATGAAGTGAACACTGACTATTTTATAAAAAGTGATGCAAGTAAACTTTTAATATTTGCTCACTCTCTCACATTGCAAATCTTATTCCTTTTCATTTATTCTTCCAGAAG